GGGGGGGCGCCCGGGGGGTGTGGGGGGGGGCGAGGGGGGTTTGGGGGGTGCCCCAGGGGGATTTAGATGTGCCCTGCGGGGTTTGGGGGTGTCCCACAGAAGTTTGGGGGTGCCCCAGAGAGGTTTGGGGGCGCCCCAGGTGGGTTTTGGGGTGCCCCAGGTGGGTTTTGGGGTGCCCCACAGGGTTTGGGGGTGCCCCAGAGAGGTTTGGGGGAGCCCCACAGGGTTTGGGGGTGCTCCAGGGTGGTTTTGGGGTGCCCCAGGTGGGTTTTGGGGTGCCCCAGGGTGGTTTTGGGGTGCCCCAGGTGGGTTTTGGGGTGCCCTGACCGCCCCGTGCCCGCAGACCTGCGCCTCATCAACACCCAGGCCATCTTCGCGCACAGGACCGGGATGATCATCCTGGGCGGGGGTCTGGTCAAGCACCACATCGCCAACGCCAACCTGATGGTGAGAGACCCCCGGGGAGGGCGGGGGGTCCCGGGGAGGGCAGGGGGTCCCGGGGGTCCCGGGGAGGGCGGGGGGCTCAGCCCGGTGTCTGCCCCGGCAGCGCAACGGCGCCGATTTCTCCGTCTACGTCAACACGGCGCAGGAGTTCGACGGCTCCGACTCGGGCGCGCGGCCGGACGAGGCCGTGTCCTGGGGCAAGATCCGCGTGGACGCCACCCCCGTCAAGGTGGGGGGTCCCGGGGGGCTGAGGGGGGATTTGGGGAGCCCGGGCTGGGGGGTCTGACCCCTCCTGCCTGTGCCAGGTCTACGCCGACGCCTCACTCGTGTTCCCGCTGCTCGTGGCCGAGACGTTCGCACGGAGCGCCGACGCCTTCCCGGTGCCCGCGGGGACCCCCGAGGCCTGAGGGACCCTCGAGGTCTGAGGGACCCCCGGTGCCTGTGGGGACCCCCAGTGCCTGCATGGACCCCCAAGTCCTGAGGGACCCCCGAGGCCAGAGTGACACCCAGTTCCCACAGGGACCCCCGAGGCCTGAGGGACCCTCAAGGCCTGAGGGACCCCCGAGGTCTGAGGGACCCCCGAGGTCTGAGGGACCCCCAAGGCCTGAGGGACCCCCGAGGCCAGAGTGACACCCAGTTCCCACAGGGACCCCCGAGGCCTGAGGGACCCCCAGGCTGAGCTCTGGGTGTCTGAGCCCCCCTCAGCTCCCACAGCATGGGGGGCACTGTGGCGAGTCCCTTTGGGGTGGCCAGGGGCCCCCCACACCTGCACCCCCCTGTCTGTGTGTCCCCCCTCCCGCGGTGCTTGCGTTTATTTATTCCAGCCCCCAATAAAGCACGGCAGGGTCTCCTCGGGGGGTTTATTCCTCGTGTCCCCCTCAGGTGTCGGGGTCTCCCTCGGGCTGGAAGGTGTCCTCGCGCCACAGCGTCA